TTCCATAGTCCGTTCTTATATTTAAGATTGTCTTAAGCACGGACTTATATTCGCTCTCTTCGTCACACATAGATTGTGTCTGACAAAGAGAGCGAATATAAGTTCGTGCTTAAGACAATCTTGAATATAAGAACGGACTATGAATACCGCCCTTACTATCCATATCCTACTACCGTTTTCTATTATCATCTTTCTTCTTATATGTGAAAGAGAAAACAATACATACGAAGTTTCTTTTCTCTTTCTAAATTCTCGACATTCTTCGAACGACATGAGTAGTCTAGTACTTACTACGTCTATGGTTGTATTCCCTGTCATATTATTTAACAACATTATGAATGTAAATAATTTATATAAGTTTGGTGAAGTTTAAAATTTTAGTAGAAAGAGACGTATAAAAAGCTAAAGAGATATTTTTGCTACCATTATTGCAAAATAAATTATAATTGTTATATGCTTACGTTTAGGTTATATTATTTTTTACTAACCTTTAGAGGGCCGGTCTAGCACTATAGTGAAATCTGAATTTGCACGATAACTTTATACAAGACGTACGTTATATATATGTATACAAACAAGTTTTGGGTATCAAGTATATAAGATTTCAAGAAAACAATACCGACCCTCTAAAGATTAAATTACGTATTACTGTGCAATGACACGTACGTGTATATGCTGCAAACAACAGATCAACGAACTGGTGTCAGACATATCACTTTTTGCGTGAGTATTTTATATAAATTATGTGCAATGAGTAATATATTTCTTTTTATACTATTTAAATCGCAATATTCTTCGATTCCAGGTTTCCAAGAGATAAGGAATTAAGAAAGAAATGGTTGGCTGCGATTAATAAGAAATTTTGTGGATCATTGCGGATATGTTCTCGTCACTTCAGAGAAGAGGATTTTAGACACAGCCTAATCGGAGGCAAACGATATTTAAAGAAAGGAATTGTACCATCTCTTCATTTAAATCAGACAAAGAATGATCAATTTCCCGACAGTCAAGATGCAGCAATCAAGGAAAACCAATTGATAGACACTGTAAATAAATATACTATGGAAACTACTGAAACAAAATCATTAAGTATTGAGGAATCTGGAATAGAATCTGAAGAAGATGCCCAATTATCGCACATTATTGAAAGAGATAAAGAAGTATCTGTTGGAAATAAGTGTACAAATATTCAATTTATATCTCAGGACTATTATAGCAAATCATCAATGTCTGAAAAGTAATATACTATACTAGTATAACAATATGATGCTTTGATTTTGCACCTAAGAAAATTCAACATGTTAAATATAATTTCTTATAGGATACTGCCTTCTTCATCAAGTTCCAATGAGCCAGTCAAAAAACACAAGAGATATCTGTATGATATTCAATGGGAAGAAGTATCTTCTTCGCCGGTGCAAGCTAGAATTTATTGGGAAGTAGTGATCGAAAAAATTATGCAACAAAAAGACATTATAAAAACTTTGCGACCAAAAGTTAAGAGATTACAAAAGAAAATTCTAGAGCTACAAAGTCAGATCAAAAATGTGAATTCTAATAAGAGAAGTAAAAAATTGTAAAACTATAATAAATTTTGATTGTAAAAGAATTTCTTACTGATAATTTCTTCTTGTACCGAAGCTTTGCACTTTTTCTATATAAGATTTTCGAAATTATTTCGAACTGTAGATAGAATATGCGATATGGACTAGTATCCATCTGTACTTTATACTTTCAATAAAAAAAAATAAATGAAATACAGTTTTAAAATTACGTAATCTATTTGTATTTATTTAATCATGATAGAGTAAAAATAGGATCAGAATTACGTCCCATGTGTGAAGAGACACATGGCAATCATAATACATCTTGACATATAATTGTCGTCATCTCCTAAAGAATCTGTTTTACCATTCTTTATATATCGACATATGTACGATGAAGTGCTCACGAGAAAACGCGAAAATATAAATTAATGTTCAAAGTTCTAATTATAATTGTTTTAAGCATAAATGTATGTGTACGTTATTTTATTTGAAACTATAATAACAAAGATTATAGTATTTTAGTATATATTTGTTTAAATATACATATATATATATATATATGTGATGACACATTTCTCAATAAAATTAAAGCATTATGTTGAATAAAAAATAACGAAATATAAATTTATGTAACTTTGTGAGAAATGTTTGTAGAAAAATTTTTTAAAAAGCGTCTTCAAACCTTATCAATCAAGATATTTGTAACAATTACATCTGTGTGTTATGTTTGTCATTTTCACTGAATGTTTTAACTTTATTAAGTGTATATAAAATGTTATTTTTACGCACATCACACAAATTTATAAAATTGTTTTTTATATTTAAAAAACAAATCAAACATCCAATAATATAAATTGATATTATACAAATAAGTAAACATTATTAGGAATGCTGTGAGTTTAAACTTTTTTGTTCTGAGACTTACAGCTTTTATTTTATTCCAGATTTTCAAATATTGATTAATACATAGCTGTCCCTATGTTCTGCTTCCATTCTATCTGCCTCCGATTTAAAATCTGAAATGCTATAAGCTCGAAAATGTTTGTTGCCACCTATCGATGACAAAGTGTGTAGGACGTGAGTATGAAATAGACAGTGCAAACACCGAGCGACTTGTGATTAATGTTTTTGCAGACGGTCGTTGTCGAGGACGAGCCCATGGGGAGCTCTCACTGTTTTGCAGTTGACCATTTGCCATTCGCTCCCTGGACATTTATCGTCACGAGTTGTTGGACGCTCTGATTTCCAACACCTTTGAATGATTTGAAAGTAACGCTGCTATATCAATTCAATGAAAAATTCTCATAAAAATGAGAACTTTATCAGAGTAATCTTGCTCTTAAACTTTAATCATAATATCCTATTATATTAAGCACAAATAATCAAATTAAAGTCAGCTATAAAAACTTCAAAATTAATTTAAAATACTTGTTTCCTAATTTAATTTGAACTCTAATTGAGGTACATCCAATATTAAAATATTTGAAAAGTTATTACGTAACATGTCATAAATTTCTGGCGCAAACAATTTGTCAAAATTTTAATTTACGTAAGAAAAGTAAATTTTAATTTTGTCGAAGAATCTGTTATTAAGATTTGGGGTCGAAACCCCCTGCAAAAGTATTGCAGTTGCGACAATAGGGAAATCGAAAACTTTCGCTTCGCACCCTCGAATTCAGGATGCTAATTGGCGGGTGGTTAGCTCGTAGCCACCGGCAAGTTTTCCGAGATTTATGAGTGCGCGAGCGCTGTGGCTAAAGGCGTGAATAAGCTCGGGTTATAGGTCAGAGGGGTTGAGGGGAGGATAACACAAGATTTTGAATTAAACGTCAACCGCACGATGAGACACGAAACTAACGTCTCGGCGCGATGTCTGGGAGTAACGATACTTCCACAACTTCGCGCATTATTTCCACTCGGCAATACGTTAACGACGAATGTCTCATGATCTTTCAAACAACAATTGTCAGTTATAGATGGGATCTATAAATCTTTTGTGGATAATGACTTGCGAATTGATAGATGCAGAAATATAGAGATCTAGTAATTATAGGGGAAAACTTAACACAACATCTAATCTTATCTCTGAGAGGATCCAATTGAAAAAAGTATCTTGCTACGTGGATGATATCTACAATTTATAGATTTTAGATTTAGAGTTTAAAGCAAAATTTAGGAATCCCAATGTAAAGAGATTCAATAATTTAAAAATTCAAAGATGCAGAGCTATCTGAATAAACAGAAAGAAAAGTGAAATTTTCATTTCAAACTTAAAGTTTGTCCAACAAAATGTGTCTAATAAAATCTATTTTTGCAAATAAAGATAATTGTGAATGTTGTAAAAGAATGGAAATTAGGATTATATTCAATTTGTGATAAAACTTATATATATTCTTTTTGCATTGTAATGAGAATACTTGTTAAATTTAGTAGGTTGAGCTCAGCTCCTAATGAGCTCTGTACGAAGATTACAATTAAATTTCAAAACACGATTTCGTCGTAATTATCACTTGTTCACTGTATCGTTTATTATCGCTCGCTCGCGTGCGAGCGAATCTCATGTCGAATTATTCGTATACCCGTATATATCGTTATCGTTAAAGTATGAAAAATGATGTATCTTGCGCTGCGTAATGGCTCATCCCCTTTTCCCACGCACGTTACGCGCGCTTACGCACCACGGCGTTTTGGAAAATAATGATCCTATCCAGTAGATATCTCTCGAAGATAAAATATCTTCACTTCAAATCTCATCGGATTTAGGACAACTCACGAAAGAAGATTAAGCGTCTAAAATAAAATAGAATCTCAGATCAGTTTTTCAAATATTAGGTCCATAATTTTTGTTCTACTCTTCGTATACTGTAAGAATGTACATGTGCGTAACGTAAAAAGTAATATATATCCTTGGTCGAACATCTTTATCTATCTTTCGAAAAAAAAAAAAATAATAAAAAATAAGAAAAATGAAGAACTATAAATTGGAGGGTGACGAAACTCGGCAAGATGCAAAGACCGTGGGGGCAAGTGCAATGAAAGTGCCATTTGGTACAGCACACACGACGCTCACCCCTACGACTGGCACGTGCCTCGAATATAATTTATTGCAGTTGGAATTTTGTGGGGTGTCCCGCGAATCCCCCGCGTGCTCTTTGTACCTAGCGACGGGTACAAGCCACTTCTGTTGTCCGCTCGATACGCAGAATCCCGCCAATAATGACGATGAACACACCCGACAATGTGCACTCGAGAGAGAACTTCCGTCCCTTTATTTCCGTGAAATAAGCAGATGCGGATTTTTGGTGAAAGTTAAAATCATATATCCTCCTCCTTCTCCTCCTCCTCTTTCAAGAAGAAATTCGAAAATTGAAGCTTTGATTTACCATGAGATTCAAACTTATTTCTTTCTTTCAAAATGCAATCAATGAAAGAAAAAATAGAAGAGAAAAAGAGAGAAAGAATCATTTATACACTTTCAATAGAATAAATTCCTCTATCTGTTTATTTTAAATATTTATTATATCATAAAACCATTGAAATGCTGTTCAAAGTTAAAACTAACGAATCAAAAGTGACAATTATTCTCTAAATTAGTAATTGTTGATGATTATCGGATTTGATCGATAACCTCTCGTTATAAACGGTGTTATTACAAGGCAAGACTCTTGTTTTTCCTTCCGTTCAATATCGCGTTTTTCCGCGTTGTTCCTAACGAGCCTGTTTTTTTCCCCCCCGTCGTGACAATCCGGATGAAAGGAAGGACGCTCGTGGCATATATCGTTGTCCGCGACGATATATCGACTTGATACGTGTCGCACTTGAAAATCGCGATGGTTTTGGCCGGAACGGATCCCAATAATTCGGATCTCGTATTTTGCCGAGAGCGCACCGCCAGCGCGCGAGAGCGAATCCCAGCTACCCTCATCGCCAAAACAACCGCCCTCGCGTACGTGAGCGGGATGAGCAAGCGGGATCAGGCGGGCGAGAGCAGCCGGGGCTTCACGGCAGGGAAGATCCAAAGTTTCGAGTTTGTGAAAAGTTCGACGGTCCCTTCACACGTCGGACTCTTTTCCCAGCGAGATGCCGCCTCTTTTCGAGCCGAGCAGCCCGCCTGATCGAATCGCTGTTATGCGACTCGTGGTGTGTCGCTTCGTTTGATTCGAGTTTATTTTGGACCACTTGATGCAGGCTGAACAGTAGTGTAAACTGTACTAAAAGGAATCGATAGCAAGGTGATACAACAGAGGTAGGCGATTTATATTTAATTAATATATCTAATAAGAAAAGAAAGTAACTAAAAAATTTATAGCGACACACGTCTTGTAAAATTCCGTATTGATTTTCGAAATTTTCGAATTCCTCTTCTCTTTTAATTCCTAGGAATGCATTTTAATTTTTAAAAGCGATAATTAAAGACGAAAAGAATATTTCACGACACCGTATTTAGAATTAAATTGCATAATATAAAATATATGCAATATATATATTTTTATATATTATAAAAACATGTCTTTTTTTGGGAGAAGTCAACTTATTTGGCGAAAATGCGAAGGTTCTCCTCGAATTAAATGGCACCTTTCGAGATTGCCCTTTTCACGATTTCCGTTTGTGATATTCTTAAAGTGTATTAGCCTCCGTCATGACTCCCGCGGGAGCAATCTCCCAGAAAGTTTCATTCAAGTTTGGTCGCTGGATATATACGTGTGTCGTCTGCACGTCCACTAGAGAAATCCGAAACGAGATCAATCGAAAGAATTAGCAAGCTTTATAATTATCTCATGTAATTTGCAGCTCAATTCATACGAAGCGCGTCTATATCTTTTTACGTTTTATGATTGTTAACGCACGCTAACAATAAGAAAAAAGTAACAATATAATAACGATAGATCGATAAAAATATAAAATACATGCGTGTATAATCTTTAAAAAATTTATGGACATCCAGAGTTCTTTTTTTGCGCTATCTAGAAATTTAAATTTAGGAGTCTGTTGTGGCGATTATTCTGCGAGGAGTAAAAAGTATTATTGCGAGGTATTCGTTAACGATATCGCAGTAGGATACGCGCGGATTCTGCGTGATGCAGCGACAAAGCACGACGCGGTCCACGGTGGGGGTGGCTGGGCGAGGGCGAAAGGGAGATGCCGCCGGACCGAAATCTGGCCTCAGTCGTGCGCGACGCGCCATATGTGGTGGACCATTTGTCAGCCCGCTCACAAAGGCCAATAATCTCGCGTGACACGTGTGCCCTGCCTCCGATAAAAAGCGGTACGTGTCGCGCCGGAAAAAGTTTTTCACCGCGACAGACGGAGAGAATTCAAACGTCGTGCAGTACGATACGGAGCACGCGACTGTGATAAACGGTATCGTTAATATCAAACAATATCATTTTTCCATGTCTTATTAATCAAATAAAATCGCTGAAATTTTTTACCACTTACAACTAATTTACGAAGTAACAAAGTGATCGGAATCGAGTGTTTGGATTCAAGTTCTATCAATTTGCGAGAAATGTTATCGTTATTTCATTGTTTAATCCGGAATACGTGATATTCATCGACGAAGGTGCAAAGAATGTTATAGAAAACTTCGCAATTTTAAACAGGTAAATCGTAAGTATTTCTGCTTGTATTTTTAAATTAATATATATGTATTAATTTATATATGTATATTTATATATTTTCTTCAATTTAATGAATATATTGTGCATGTAATAACAATTTATTTATTTATGACTCATAAATTATGTTTTATTTACTATTCATGTGATAAATATTTTTCACTTTATCACGACAGTACGCGCGCAGAATTACATGCAACTTATTGTAAATATATAATCATCGTAACTTTCACGGCAGTTAAAATTTAATTCTTTCAGGGAATTGAATTATTTAATCGGTTGCAGATTCACCGAGGAGAGTCCGTAATTAAAGCTTGATGAAGTTGCGACGGGTCATTCTCAAATAATGCAAAACTTTGGGAAAATAGGTTCACTTAGCGAGAGAGCTCCTCTATTTAATTATCGAGCGTGTAATGGGAAATTAAAGAGCGCCGACGGATTATCGTGAGACGCGCGTAATTAAAGCGCGCGCGCCACGATAGAAAAGTATAAAAACAAACGACGACGCGCACAAGATAGCTTCTGATTTTTAATTAGCGCCGTTAAAAACATTACGAGATTTGGATAATTACGAGGGCAAGACTGATTACCGTCCGGGTGGCCCGAGCCGCGCTACATTTATTAGGGGCGGACAAAGCGGCGAGATAAGAGCCTGCTGAATCATGGCCTGATGAGACGCAAGTGTGTAAATGTGTTTTCGGTGTAGCCTGCGAGAGCACTTAACAATTGCTTAAAATAACCAGAACCGCCACTCTCCGGTGAAAAGTGGCCCTTGCGCGCGTGCCGCTAAATTCGGATGAAATCGAGAATCGAAGCACGCATCACCGATGCCGTTCGATGCAACTTTCAGTTGACTCGAGCCATGTACTTTATGCTTATTTAATTATTTATATATCTAAAAAAAAATATATACGCCACCGCTGACAAATTTAAAGTAGACACTCGAGGTATGAAATGTATTTTCTCGTAACGTCAAATATAATTATCATTTTACCGATAAAAAAATTTCTGACAAAAAAAGTAGAAGTTGGAGAAGAGTGAAATCGAAAATAATTTTTGTTTTTTAGCATTGTGGGTGATTTCGATATGCGTGCACTTTTTCGCTTTGTTGTCGAAGCCGACAGGAACTGATTACAAACGCGCGTGAGCCTTCTGCTGGAAAAAGAAGATAGAGAAAGAATCTTCAACGTGAAACTTTTCGGCATTTCGGCGTCTCCAGAAAATAAAAAGACTAGATTACCCTTTGTCTTTTTTTTCTACTGAAAAAAACAAGCTCGGCCGCCGCCATCGTCTATCCCACCGGGGTAGAGAGATCTCGGAAAGTTCTTAAAGACCGACGCCATTTCTTCGGAAGGGATCACTGGCCGTGACCTGTCCTCCTGCATGAGACGGCTCAAAGAACTTTGGAATTTTTCGCTGCATCGTTTCCCCGAAGTTGCAAGCTCTCTCGCGGTCGGCTTATACATGTATATCCATCGTTCCTTCTCTCCGTTTATCCACAATCCTTCAACTTTATCCCGTCTTTTATTTTCGTGCGTTTAACTTGCGAGAGGAGACGCATCGGAAGAATCCTAAACGAATGGACAAATTAAAGAGACGAAGAAAAACTCACTTTCGTCAAACGAATTCCTAATTTTCGACACCGGCCAGTGCTCTTGCAACGATTAAATTTTTCTCTATGTTTAATTAACTTAATTTATTGGTTCCTTTTATAAGTGACGAGTTAATGTACGTGGCGTTAATCACGAGGACAAGTTTCGCCGTCAATGTTTTTTGTTTCGCAGATAAGCGCACCTCTCTTCGCCTTTATGAAAGGAGAGCCTGTGCGGATGAAGAGCGGAAAATGAGTAAAACCGGAAGACCAATCAGCACAGGGAGGAGGACGTGAAGCAGGGCGGATCGTCGGTGTGATACACCGCGGCGAAGATGAGATCGGAAACTGCGCTGTACCTGCTCTTCCTACTGATCCTGTCGCTAAATGATCCTTCATGGGCTTCCGTCGAGATCAGAGGTGCGTTACTAAGTTTGTTTGCTAACAAGCTAGCGTTATCGTTGAGAAATCATTTGTCCCATACTATCGATTCGTATTAGTGCAAGCAAATACAATTTTCGTGAAAAGATAATTCATGAAACATTATTTATTTATTAATTTAAAAGTTATATATTAAATGTTACTTAAGGAAAAATATGGGATTTTTTTACATAATATAACGATATTATTTCGGCTGTCGCAAATAATTGGGGATTGGCGTGATAAATCGCTTCCAGAGAAAATGTAATCTCAGTGGAAGCTTCGATGAGAATGAAATTGCGTAGCTTAATGAAGTACGAGGGGTAAAACTCAATCGAGAAAGAACGCTAATCACCTTTATAATGAAATGACATTCGCTTAAATTGAGAGAGACAGCTCTATTTAGCACTGTTCCTGTACAATTACCGACGAAAGTTTTCGAATAAAAATGAACGATTACACGGACCGGTCGCGTTATATTACATAAAAATTATGTGCACATTACACACAATTACATTTATGGCGATAATAAAACAACAATAAGTCACTGAATATCTCGATGCCGTTGACCCGTTTTCATCCGATGCATCGAAAATGTTTTTATGCCGATAATAAAACCTAAATAAGTATCTTCACGATGTCGTTTGTACGTTTTCTTTTATCCGATGCATCAAAGGAGTCTCTGGTTTATGACTATTCATGTCCCCTTGTAACGAGAAAATCGTTACGCGCACAGAAGCGACTGCCTGAGGATACTTGGTGTAATTAATCGTATGCATTGTCACGCGTCTGTGATATGGATGGGCTTGCACCACTCGTATGCATTAGTGAAAGATGAGATATACGCTTTTCTTGAGAAATAAAAAAGTAAAGAAACATGATATAGCTTACATAAAAACGAAGAAATATGCCAAAGTAAATGATAACATTAATTAATCGAAAGTTTTATTGTGTCTGCTATGTTTATTCGTTGTATTTGCAAAATAATATTTTTGCAGCATTTAAGATTAATTTATAATAATAATAAAATAAAAATTGAGTATAATTTGCGAAAGAAGCGTAAGAAGTATCGCGGAAGCATTGCTGAACGATAGCAACTGACTAATCGAACATCGCGTTGTATGTGCGAGCACAGGTATTCCACGCGTATACGCACACACGTGCACGCATGATAAAATTGAGATGACAAATATAGCTGAGTCGGGAAGCAGAAGTACACGGAACGGTAGGGCATAAGGAGGCGGGACGCGCAGCATCGGCAAACGGCGCTTCATTTCAGTAAGATTGGCTACATCAATGGCAATTAATTAGCCGGTAAACTCTGAGTAATTTCATTAGTCCGACGCGCAGTCGAGGGTCGTTGAATAAATAAGATCGTGTTTTCATCGAGAAAGCACCCGCGGCGTTTCGATAACTATTTCTCGCAGTATTTTATTCTTTTCCGCAAAAACATTTTCCACGAGAGATCGATTCAACCTCAAAGGAATCTCGCGGAAAAGCCGAAGAAACAAGAAGCAACGAACAAGGCCATTGTAAGGACAACCGAATGGCTCATTTGAATTCTATCTTATCCGAAACATTTTGGTTGTTATATTTTATACATGTTTTTTGCCTTTACAAAATAAAGGAAAATGAGAAATAAAATTATAATTATCTGACGTATTTCCCTATTTTGGATGTTTTTTCAGACGTAAATTCTCCAGTTACGTATTTTTTTCATTGCATATATATGTGTTTCACTATAAATGCAAATTATACATATATATTGGTTTTTTTTTTGCCATTTGAACGATATATTTTTTGCATTTCACAGGCTGCAACCGTACCATCAGAAACTCGGTCGGCTGGATTCGCTGGACAGGACGAATGGGTCGATGTATCGTAAGAATCAGGGCACCGCTCAGAGATCCGCAGGTTTATTTACATCTGTTGCAATTATTTTTAACGGAGCGCTGCATTAAATTTCTTATGCATTTTACACATGGAAGTAATACGATGATAGAAAGATCGGTAATGAATAAATAAATGCATTAGTAAATGCAGCAAATAGAAAATAATGTAATAAATAAATAATAATAAGTTAGAGTGAACAATTAACGATAAAAATTAATTAAATTTTCGTGTGTGGATAGGTAATCGAGATAAAAGTCAGGAGATTGCAGGTAGGCTTTCTGAAAGAAGCTCGATGCGAAGGTGCGTATTTTCAATTCTCCGATAATGCCGACGATTCCGACGACGAAACAGGCCGATATTGCGGCCACGTGACTGGAAATAGTACAAGGTACATTCTTTTATAGATTACATCTCGTTGGTCCACATTCTTCCACAGAAGCATTAATAATAATTTTTTATTTGCGCGCATATATATATATATATTTTTGTTTATTTCATAATTGAATTATTCTTTCAAGACTATTTTTATTGATTATTAGCCTCGTTTGTGGAAATTAGCCATTTATGAGGTCTCGTTTTAAAATAAAATTTTATTCATTTTTAACTTCACAGATTATTTCTGCGACGTGGTCCCGATCTGACGATCACTCTATCATCAGACGCCCAGTTTGCCTCAGCGAATCCAGTTATCTTTTCCGCTCAATTTTCTATTTTGCCAATTCGCTTGGCGATTGAGCGTCATCGCGGCTATTCCGCATCCACCTCATCCACGTGTTCTGTGGAGTGCACGGTGCGCGACGAACGCAGATCCTGCAAGCTGACTTCACCAGCTTATCCTAGCGTCTATCCGCGTGGGATCAGGTATGCTATCGTCTTTATCGAATTTAATAAGCCAAATCTTGTTCTAGATTAAATATACGTTGATAAATTGTTCTTTTAAATCTTCAAACTCAAATTATAAATTCTACTCTCTTATTATATATGAGAGAAAAGTGTGTGATATTTGGATTATAATTTTTTTTTTCTCTCAGTATGTGACCGAGGCATATCAATGTCCTGTGAATTGTCCAGCTAATTTTGATTGAATATTTTTTAGAACATGTTGAAATCTCAATTAAGTTCTTTTTCTTTAGTTCTACGCAACATTTATGAAATATGTATCATTTAAAACAAATTTATCAATTACGCAGTTGCACATCGAACATCTGGTTTGATATTTTTAGATGCAGGATTGCGTTGGAGTCAAGCGCCGGTCGCTTCAGGATAGGCGGTCAACCGGAGGATCTCTTCGACTTGATGAATTACACCGATCAAGAAAGCTGCCGAATAGAGAATTGCGAGGACTCTTTCGAGGACGGGGACGTCGGAGTCGCGCGTGCTGTAAGGAGTCGGGATCGCGTCGAAGCGGATGAATCTATTATCGGGGACAATCGACCGAGAAACAAACACGAGATGAAACGTACCGAGGAAACGAATGGACGATTAACGAGGCGGCGGCGCTACGAGAAAAAGGCGACGCAGCGGCACGGAGGGAAGCAATATCGTCACAAAGAGCCGCCGCATAGGTCTGACACGAGCGAGCCGGAGCTTCGCGTAAAATCAATGCGCTCGAAGATAACGAGGAAGGACCAGCGAAGGGTCGTCCCGGACCATTATCTCAATGGCGATCCTGAAGGGCCGAATGAAACATTCGGTGGCGCGACGGTACGTAACTTGTTTAAGCGGGAAAGATGCATTAGTGAATGATTTGCTAATAGCTTTCCCAAGTAAAGTAATACAAGGTAAAATAAATTTAATAGGGAATGTACAGAGTGTCCTGAAAAACTCGCGGATGTCTTTAAAACTTTTCTTACTTATAAATTATAAACGATTGAAGAAAGAACGAAAAGATTAACAATTTTTTTCATAAACAAATAAATAATTTAGATCTGTTTTGATGATCGCACAATTAAAAATTAAAGTGTCATTATCAAATGTAATTATGAATTGGCGCTACTGATATTTGATTCTTCTCTCTTTATATAATAATACATTCTTTCATTTAAATTGAAAGCACGCCATTGAAACATCGATTGATATCTAAAGGATATTTAAAGAGGAGATTCAAAGAGAAGATTTAATTACATTAAGAAATATTCCCAGAATCGGGCTGTTTGCTTCTATCTGACACACCATCTTCTATCTTTTTTTTTTAAGGTGTCGAAACACAAATATCTTGGGAGGAATCGATCGTCGGGAAACGTCACGTGTAACAGCGGCGATTACCTTGCGCTTCTGGAAAACGTGAACGGGAAGATTCTTGAAATCTCGCGGTTTTGCGGCAACGGTCGCGTACCGCGTATTTATTCACGCGGCAGGAACGTGATCCTGGAATTTTTCGCGCGGAAGGACGGCACTGTGACGCACGATGGTTTTCAGGTGACCCTGCAGGAGGAGGAGGAAGAGCGCGTTTCGCAGGTGACGAGACACGCAAATTGCGCATTCGTATATAGAAGTTCCGTCCGTAACAGCCGGGAGAACATCAAATCCCCGCGGAGCTGGTATCCGCCCAACACCGTGTGCACTTACAAGTTTCTCGGCAGAACCGCGGAGAAGGTTTCTATCTACATAAAGATCCTCAGAAACGAGTTTGGCCACGAGAAACCGGAGACCAAACGGAACTTCAGTCTGAACTATTGTCCGGGCAACGAAATCTCTGTTTATAATGGAGCGCGGGTAATTGATCTGTCTAATTTTATCACACTTCGGTTACAGTTTTATCATATCGGTGCATGAATTTCACAAGTAGCGATAATATTTATTCTGCGAGAGTAAATTTCCGATCTTCCACGTTACAATTATTTTCGATACGTTAACACAAAGCAGTTTAATTAATTTTGATTGATAAATATAAATTAAAATAGATAATAGACAGTTTAGTATATGATTTCTAGATTTTAAAAGCGAAATAAGCTTTTATGATTATTTTATTATAAAAAGATAATAATTTTTTTTAATAATGCAACTAAATAAGGACTCAAAGGGTTAATTTACGGAATTGTCACCTTCAGTTGCAAAATAATTGCTATAAACCAACGACCGAATTTGCAGGTAAACGATAGCTTTTTGATGTGGTCGTATTGCGACGCGTCTCACTGGGATATCAACAATATTCAAGTACCTTTGACGTCCAGCGGAAACGAATTATTGATCCAGTACTACAGCGCCAAAGGGTCCTACGATGGTCAAGGATTCACTTACGTTATATCCTACCGATTCGTCAGGAGAGAGCATAACTTCACCGGCACAAGACGCAAGTACAAATCAATTTCCTTGAGACCGGTCAATCTGTCGACGCTCAACCTTAACGACACCGACAGCTACGACTGCGACGACCAAATCGGCACGTTCAAAAATTGGTTCGCGGTGCTGGTCGTCTTTGGTGTCATTTCTTTCATCGGGGCCGTCATCACGATAATCACTCTGACGGTGAAATGTCTGAAGACCAGATCCTCCGAAAAAAAGCTCTTGCAGACTACGAAACGATGAAGTCTCGAAAACGAAGTTCTCCTCGTCATTTACCGGTTAATGCAACTAGGTATTAGAGCAAATCAAGATCTCAGGACTTCGGGGATTTGAGAGAAAATATATTAATTTTTAGATAATAAACTGGCAAAAGTAGAACGAGATTCCACCGAGAGTAAACTCGGCAATTTTTTTAAGAAACTGAAGAAAGTGAAAGTATTTACTAAAAAAATGCTGTGAAACATTTAAACAAATTGCAGATCATTGCAATTCTATCAAGAAACCGATTCAACATTTTTTCCATATTTTCCAGTAAAGAAGATTTTTCGGCAAATGGGAAATAATGTACAATTATAAATTAAATTTTTATACGTAACATACGAAACAATAATATAAACTTCAATAAAGTATATAAAATAAGAAAAAATGTATTAACAAAATTATTACGACTAATAATTCTAAATACTAATCTTTTAAAAAATCCTGCCCTTTAATCCCTTTAAACCTACATGAAATGATCATTAAATTATATTCCCGAATTTTCATCAATTAACGAACATTTATTTCACTGTCGTTAATTTGGAACCTCTATCATTAAAAATTAAATTCAAATATTTAGCAAAATTAAGTGTTTGTTTGCTAATTGATTGCAAATTTATAATAACGATAATAAATATAGAATAACATTAAAGTATGCAAATATCTATAATATTTACATATCGATAATATACGATCTTTGTAAGAGATAAATTCATACAGCACAAATTTTGGAAATATGTTGCTGCAAAATATCTGTATGTTATCATGAATGTTGTGTAATCATGTTTTCGAGTTGTTTCTTTGCCGCTTGATAATAATTAATCGAATTTTTGTGAATATCGTATTATTATAAAATAGTGACAATGAGAGGAAGAACAATTTTCAATTTGTTAATATATATTGATAGGAGATAATCATCAAAAATATAATCAGCGGTAAGTAGAAATTTCAAGATTTTAGGATAAACTAAGCAGTTTGACAAACTTCTCATCACACATGATAAACTAAGAAATTGTTATAATAATATGTATTTATTGCTCTAAAATTGATTAAATTGTTAAATTAGTTAAATATATTTTATATATTAAGAAGTAAAATTTTAATAGTAATTATTTTCTAAATGGAATTTTACTAAATAACTATATATTATTATTTTATGCTATATTTTTATTATTTATCTATTTTATATTGTCATTTTAGTATTTATTTTATACTGTATATTGTATCAATATAAAACAAATTAAAAATTGAACAATGTTTTTTCTTCCTCTTATTGTCACTATTTTATAATAAATAATACGATATATTCGCAAAAATTCAATTAATTATTATCAAACGACAAAGAAACAATTCGGAAACATGATTACACGACATTCACGATACTATCAACGATAATCGTGCAGATAACTTTGTAAGTTGTCTGCGTCGCGTTTATGCTACGTCCAAACTACTTGAATATACATTCTATGTTTTATGCATATAAAGAGAAGTGTATTAATTAATATGTTTAATTAATATGTTGTTTCATGTTTCATTGCATTGACAGCATTTCTTTATCTCATATCATAACAAATAATATTTATGCAAATAAATTTTTTAATCCCGAGTTTTTGCGATTAGAATTTATACGCGATTAAATTTATACGATTAAATTTACTATCATTATCTTAATAATATAAAAAAATTGAACTTACTCACCGGCATGATGCGCAGCAGCGGAGTTGTTCCGTTGATCTGCAAAGTTGATCTGTAAAACATAAAAGAACATTCTGATTATAGCAGAGTTTAAATTAATTAGTATTAAAAAATAATTGCGCACGTTAAACCTTTTATTTGTCTTTTAAACAATTATGTTCTGTCCAATATCTTACAATTAATAATAAATGAATGACAAATACCTCAAAGTTGTTCCGTCGATGCTCGATGCTCGTCCTGAACCTGCTCCTTTTCTCAGTATAAGGGAACACGATTCATTCGCGATTCACTCGTGAAAATCTGATTAATTATAAGCGCGGCACTCCCGACGCGTATTTTATCATATAAGAACAAAAATAATACTCGAATATATCATCGCACGGATACGTTCGACTTTCTATAGAACCGGGGGAAGTGATTTTGGAGGTTAATTGTAATAAGACAATAGTGAAGGCAGTAGTGAAAGTAGTATGGAAGTTGTTCGGATGGTTAAAATAAGGCACCGATTCATTCTGTACGATTCGCTGTTCTACACGATTCGCTCTATACGAAAGACAACAGGATAATAGTAAAAACAAGGTCTCGCACAAATTTTAATTTGGAGGAATGCGCGGAATGTATGCGTTCATACTTAGCGCAAGAGAGAAATAGTGAAAACGAGTGAGAGGGAATATGAGGTTCTAACGCGACGACAACTTCACCATATGGCCTCGGCCGAGAAACTCGTCCCCTTTCCTTCGCACTTTCATACGCTATGTATCGCGTACATTCCACGCATTTTTCCGAATCAAACTTTGCGCGATTTTTGCTATTATCCTATTGTTTTTTACACGGCGACACTCATACAGGGCGGATCGTGTATCGGAGCGTATTGGTATGTTATTTCTACAATTTCTACCATCCTAACAAGTTCCACACCACACCTTTATTACTCTCTCATTACGCTTAACCGCCAAACTCTCTTTACCCCGATGAGCAAATTATTTCGTACAAATATCCTTCGTTTATTGTTTTCTACAGAATGCCGAAATGTATCCGGGTATTATCTTTGTTTTTATATAAATCGGGACGCGTCGGGAATGTACATCGATTAAATCGCGTATTTCGAAAGATTTGTTTCATGAAAATTCGTTGCGCGGGCAGCAGTGTTCACGCAAATCGACATTTTGTATTTTATAATAACATTTATATATTGAACGCAATTTATATACTAAATTTATATATTGAATGCAAAAAGAATATCTTATAATGTTCGAAATATTATATATCATATTAGGAATTTCGTTGACTAACAGTGTCGGGAAGTTTGGTGGGGTTGTTTACATTCGCTTTGTAGCCTACGAGCTCTATGCTCTTTCTCCCTCACTCCCATGCTTTCTCTCTCGCACGCACTATCGGTACACACATTCTTTTCCCCTACTCCCAAATCGTACTTTGATCCTTCGACACGATCTTATATAAATGAATTTTTGCTTCTGGACTATTCGCACGGCGGCACTTGAGCGAGGCAGACCGTTCGCGTATCGGCGCGTTATCCCCCCCCCCCCCAACTACCCACAATGCTTATTACTCCTCACAGTTTTTCATCTTTCTCTCCCTTTTCTAACGTTACCTGTTGCGTACATAGCGTGTCGAACGCGTATTCCGTGCGATGAGCGATATTCGAGTTTAACTTTTGTCCTAATATGACAAAATACGCGTCGGGAGTGTCGGCTAATATATCATATGATTATTATAATATCGTTCCGCCGTAATTTTGCAGTAATATAAAACGCGGAGTGCCATTTAAAGTGCCGTGCGATTTTCATATTCGCGTCGCGATCGCATGTGAATACTTTGAAAACCACTGAGAGGAGGAGGAGGCTCGGGAGGAGCATCGGGCGCCGGCGGAACAACTTTACGGTAAATAATAATTCAATCATTTGTTGAAAATGTTGTAAATATTTATTATTTTGAATGCAACTATAATCTTCTTTTGGTATTTTACAGATCAACTATGCAGATCAACAGAACGACAATACAGACTCCGCTGCTGCGCATCAATCGGTGAGTCTAATTTGTCTTTTATTATTAAGATAGTGGATCAAAAAATACTGGAAAAATATATTGAGACACTTTGCAGACCCTATAATTTTTATCTCTTTATAGTAATTATATCAAAATTTTATTCTCACGTCAAAATTTATTCTCATATCAAAATTTTTTTCTCGAATATTTTGAATTGTATCTACATTTATTTTTAAGAGAACAAAGTACTTATTTTTTAAATTAATTTAAATTAAATTTATTTATGTTACCAAATATTATTATGTGCATAACGATGCAACTTGCAGGCTGCACCGTTACATCGGGAATGGCCTTATTTGAAAGGGGGTGCTCTCTTGGCAGACGAGCCTCCAAGACGACGCCGTCGAAGCCTTCGCAGCCGGTCCGCACTGTCTCCCGAGTGGGGACCAGTATCCAGCGGTCGGACCTTCAGAACCGGAGGAAGGCCATCTTCCTGGTCACACCGCCGCCGCCGATACCACGAGGGCGGAAGCGCCAGTCTCCGGGCGACGTGGGCATAGTCTCGTACACGCCATCGCAGGAGCGAAGAGCGACGAGGCCAACCGCCGTGCCGACCACCGCACGAGTCAAACCGACCAGCGCCGTAAAAATACGGCCCTGGAGCGGGTTACCGGTCATTGTAACTCGGCCGACAACGGCCGTCGCCGCACCACCGGCATCAGCAGCCGCCGCATCTCGGGCCACCACCAGCCGCCGCATCTCGGCCACCACCAGCCGCCGTCTCAAGGCCACCGCCAACCGCCGCTGCACCACCGCCGCCGCCAGCTAAGGGGCCAGCCAATTCGCCGCCCATCATGGTGGAGTATGCTCCGCGAGAATTCGCCGCGGTACCGTATTACTCGGTAACCGTCTCGCGGAGCTATAAGCTTCGAACAGACGACGGAAGGAGATACAAGCTCCTCTTCTTGCGAGAAGGGCGACTTCTCGCAAGCCGTCTGCTGCCGCCGCAGGCTTCTGGCTCCCCGAAGCGGGGGGTGATGTAACGGTGCAGCCTGCAAGCTGTACCAACTTCACGTCACGCGTGAACGAATCACACGTCACCTTTATACACTCATCACACTGATACGAATTATACGAATTACATTTATACCGATCACACGCAAACATTTATACAAACCATTTATACCAACCATACGCATGTACACACTGTCGTCTAAATAAACATATCATTTTGTTATCATCTTTTAAACGCGAGTTCTTCTTGACGTACCTCCAACCGAACGAACCCGGATTCGAGCTATACCGCGAGCTATACCGCGCCCGAAAAGCTCACACGGTTTCATGTGTTTAGAAAAATACATATTATATTACAGTTATAAAAATCATTAAAAAATATGTTACTTTAAAATATAAGGCTTACAATAACTTTACTCAAAGTATTGTCCATCATTAGAGACCACTTTCTCCCATCTTTCTGGCAGTAATTGAATACCCCATCGAAAAAACGATTCATCTTTTGACGCAATCCATGAATCGACCCATTTTTCGGTTTCTTCGAAAGAATGGAAGCGCTGCTCGCTCAAACCATGCGCCATCGACCGAAACAAGTGGTAATCCGAGGGGGCTATGTCCGGTGAATACGGCGGGTGAGGTAGAACTTCCCATTGAAGCGTTTCCAGGTAAGTTTTGACTGGTTTTGCCACATGTGGCCGAGCATTGTCATGTAACAAAATGACTTTGTCGTGTCTCTGCCCGTATAGTGGCCGCTTTTCTTTTAGAGCTCGACTCAAACGCATCATCTGAAGTCGATAGCGAGCTCCCGTGATAGTTTCATTAGGTTTAAGCAGCTCATAATAAATTACGCCCTGCTGATCCCACCAAATGCAGAGCAGAAGTTTCGAACCATGGATATTCGGCTTTGCCGACGATGTTGATGCATGGCCGGGCTTACCCCACGATTTTCTACGCTTAGGATTATCGTAGTGTATCCACTTTTCATTTCCAGTGATGATACGGTGCAGAAAACCTTTTCTTTTATGCCGTTGAAGCAGCAATTCACACATGAGAAAACGTCGTTCAACGTCTCTCGGCTTCAACTCATACGGCACCCAATGTCCTTGCTTTTGGATCATTCCTAACGCTTTTAAACGTTTTGAAACTGTTGACGCATCTACTTGCAATGTTTTCCCGAGCTCTACTAGCCGTCTGACATGGATCTAGATCAAGCAATGCCTCCAATTCTTCGTCTTCAAACTTTGTCGGTGCTCCAGAACGTTCTTTATCTTCAAGGTCAAAGTCATTATTTTTTAAAGCGCCTAAACCAGTCTCTGCATGTCGTATTCGACAGAGCATTGTCACCATATGTTTCAACAAGAATTCTGTGTGCTTCAGCTGCAGATTTCTTTTGAATAAAGCAGTGCAATAAAATTCCCCGCAAAAACACTTTATTTGGCACAAAAGTAGACATTTTCGCAATAGGTAATTAAACACGTGGTTGACACTGTGGTAAACTGTATCTACTAGAATTTGAGGTTACATATAGTACTACTTAGCTGATGCGTTTCCGTACGAAATTCCATGCACAGAGTGCCGCTACGCCATCTTTTAAGAAACAGCGAGAACTTATTCAAGGACCTAATACATATTATATTACAGTTATAAAAATCATTAAAAAATATGTAACCTGCAAAATGCGTAATACATTAAAAAAAGCAAAGTGTATTTTATTTTGATTAATTTAAATGAAATTGTTTTTGAAAAATTTTAATTAGATTAAGAATGTTGATTTAGAGAGCGATTAGGTTGCTACAAATTATTGCATTTTTATATAAAATTCCCAATATTTAAAATTTTTATCTAAATTACGGTTACGCATACAATATCTTGCATATCTATTATTCTATGGCCGGTATTCATAGTCCGTTCTTATATTCAAGATTGTCTTAAGCACGAATTTATATTCGCTCTCTTCGTCAGACACAATCTATGTGTGACGAAGAGAGCGAATATAAGTCCGTGCTTAAGACGATTTTGAATATAAGAACGGACTATGAATACCGTTCTTATGTTACTTGTTCACATGATGTAGTGTTACATTTATGTAATAGTCAATGTTTGAAACAGTGAATTGTCTAATTTTTTTTTTATTTGTCGTGTTGTGTGTTTGTCTATTGTCTCATTGTCAGCAGCTTGTAACTAATAATGTTCTTTGTCTGTGTGTCAACCGTCAATTGTCTCTCGTTAAATTCTTTGTTGAGAAAAATAGGTGGGCGAGATATTATATGCGTGATTAAAACATTTGTTTTTATGTAAAAAAAATATACTGTTGAATATATAAATTTTAAATTAATTAGAATATAAGGCTCTAGTAATTGTTAAATCAAATGAAATCAATAAAAAGCGTAAAGAGCCACAATACTAGATTTCCGTGCGAAGGTTATGATATATTCGTTAAAAATGTTTACAAACGTTTCGACCTGCTATCAGGCCTTCTTCAATGTACAAAATAAGTAATATAAAGATCCGCTCACAAAGATTAAATAATTAAAAAATGTGGAAGACGTATTTGCAATTCTTTATCGTCCATATTGTTGTTCGTTAAAAAATTAGATAGGATTGTATTAATACATCATGGATACAACATCATCTCTAAAGATTTCAAATTTTTTCAAATTTTAATTGTCAAAATTTTTGTAAAAAAAATGTATTTTTTAAAAGATTGTATGTAATTTTTAAAGATGTAATTTTTAAAAGAAAATGTAATAAGATAAATGTCTCAGTGGCTAGACATATTTCAATCTCCAATTATTAAAAAAAACAATTTGTTAAGTATTTATAAATATAATAACCAGAACACATACACATTGGTACATATAAATATCCTATATTTTTTGCAAATATTTAATTTTAATAATTGTTTATTAAATGTTCTAAATTTGTTAAAATATTATATTGTATTGTACAACATATTGTATTGTATATTTATTGTATTATACTTATATCGATTGTATTGTATAATCTGTTATGCATTGTATATATTGTAATATTTATTGTATATATATTGTATTATGTAAATATTATTAATTTTGTTTTTACATTTTTAATAAAACATGTTTTTGATAACAAATATTGCGTAAAATAATTTACCTTTTTCCAATTTTTCCAAAAAACATTTTAAAAATCTTCCTTTTATCGAACTGATCGGAAAATATAATTTTACTTATTTATTTTATTCACTCAAAGTGAATGGTATTCTATGAACTAGCAGTCGGTATGATATTAGTTCATTATTGTCGGTGATGTCGCTTTTTCTTTACGCATGTGCAACGCAGCGACTGCGAAATACGGCGTGCGTGTGTCGTTAGGAGAACGAAGGTATATCGACGAAAGTCACGTTGAGGTTCGATACTCGAACGTTCTGTGAATGTGTATAAATAGCATTTAATAATTTGATCGTGTACGACAAGACACGAGACTCGACACAAATATGTCCGGCACAGAAAATGGTTGTAATGCCGGTGCGATTCTGAAGAAGCTTGGCCTGCGACCAGTCACACGATGTAGCCTTGCTAAATTCTACGTGCCGGCATTCGGCGCTGCTTCATATACTGCGATGTCTGTCAACGTCATGAATCCGAGTCTCGTCATCAAGTAAGTGAGACGGATATCGATCTTATTATTTCTGCACGCGACAAGTAGAAAAAATTGACAAGTGATAACGAGGAATCCAATTCTTTGCTTATTACGTAACCACAAACGCATGAAACCACTGCGCGTCGTTGCAATAGATGAACTTTGGACGTTATGGATGTTAAAACAATTAAATGAACATTTCTATATACTTGTTTTACTATGAATGATCTTATCTTTTGAAACTTATAAATAAATATAAAGAAAAAACAATGAAAAATGCAAAGAAACATAAGTATATACGTAAGAGAAAGATGTGAAAATTTAAGATCTAAGAATCCAAAGTGCATCGACACATTTTCCATTAATGAGACCTCGCTGTAAAGATATATAAATAACAATATATATCTCTCAATGACGATCAAGATGATATTTGATCGAAAAGTATTTATGGGCTATCATTGGTAATGTAAATCTAGAGATTAAATTAAAAATGTGCAAGTAATAATAAATTTCATTGTGTTGTAATAATAGGGAAAAGGTAATAAATACTTTTATTTGTTTTTTCAGAGTATTCCCAAGGAGAGACATTACAAATTTCTTATTGGCTGGTACTTTAATTGGTACCGCATCGTATATCTACACACGTGAGCATTTGCAGAGCGCAACACCACGTCAAAAAGTTTTGTACAGGTTAGAATTTATGTCGGTATGCATATATTTATGGCCTAGTAAGACAACTTTGTTTTAACTTATTACAGTTGTACTTATTACAGCAACATAATTTATTTCAGTAAAAAAAATGAATTCTTATACTAAACCAAATATATTTGTGTAACATTTATCTTGAATAGAATGCAATTACATTTGTTGAATTTATTTTTTAGTGCTACTGGTGCGATATTATTGAGCTTGGGCTCTGTTTTGCTGTGGGCAGTGATACGTTCCATAGTACCTCCAAATCCAATCTGCTGTACTGTAGCTGGTGTTGGGAGTGGAGTGGCACTTTTGAAAATCGGATCAAGCTACCTCGAATTTGTTGACGGACAGATAGCAAAAAAGTAGGCTGCTTCTATATACTTTTTTTTCTTTTTTTTCTTATCTCGAATTTGTATCTCGGTAAAACAAAATTGTATTACTTTAAGCAAGGAAGCATAGTACCTGCAAATATTTTCAAATTTTAATTATAAGTCTTAAATTGATATATTTTGTATAATTATTTAATGCAATAAGAAGTTGCTGAAAATGACAACACCTGATTTATAAAATGTTGGGTAACACATTTTTATGCATCTTGCCGGTATTGTTTGGATATGTTTTGATGCACGCACTTTTACGTAAAACAAAAAAATCTTTACTTCGGCTGCACAAAAATGTTAATGATTCATCGAATGTGGATTCATTCTTGGTAATTTTTCATTGCATAACAGAATAATTATAAAAACATAGAAACATAAATATTCAGGACTTATACTTGAAATTTACATTTGATGCTTGAAGGTGCCGCGCTTCTTTATTCAAAGTAATACAATTTTATTTCGTCAAAAACTGGTTATTTCGGATCGACGAAAACGCGCGTATTGTATGTTTTAAACTGTTTTATAAGCTATGCAGCATTCGTACGGAAGATGCATCGTCGTGTAGATAAATGTCACGATAAATGTACGAATATAGGAATCACGTGTGATATGATAAAAAACAGAATCAAATATGTGAATCTTCTTACCTGTCCGGAATAATCCTACCTGCATTTCTAATTTTTTATGTAAAGATATATGCATAACAATATTCTAGAGATATATTATAGATAACGATAACTATGATATTAGAATTTATTAATAGATAATAAAATTTATCCGCACTAATTGTGCAAAATGTTCTAAAAAAAAACACTTTATAATTTTTACACAAATTTCTTCGTTATTTGTTTGTTGAGAAAAGTTGAAAGGATAAGAGCTAAACTGTTAAGAACTGCGAAGTTGATAATTCTTGTAACACAATAGCGTAGTTGCTATTTTCTATTATCTACCGCGCTTTACTGAAACTGGTTCGTGTCTTTAGAGTTATTATCGTTTATTTATCAAATCTGTTGCTCCCTCCCGCAATTAAGACAAATCGAGTCCAGATAAGAGGAGCTCTTTAGATAGTGCGATCATAGAACGACCATAGAATGGTTGTAACGTTTTGTACTGTTACGAATTAATTTCACCATTGCGGGATATTTAATTGTTACTTTTAACATGGAGAAGTTTAGATAAAATTGATTACTTCATTGTAAATAAACAAAACATTTTGGTATATTGTCAGTATATTAAAGTTATGCGCAAAATTTACACTCGATTTTTTACTTTGCAATATCATGAAATACATCCTGGCGTGAATCGCAATTAAACGCAATGCGATACGATACTGTAACTCGGACCTTGATGTCTTATCCTGTGCAACACATTGCTGCCGATGCTACTAATGTCGAAGTCATAACCGCTTGAAATTACGCGATAATTTATCTCGTTGAGAGAGAGAGAGAGAGAAAAAGCATACGACAACGTTCCGTAGGTCGTCGAGAGTCGGAGACGTTTGAGACCATTATTTTACGGAGGTCTCTATATAGGGTGTCCCACATTCTGTCTAAAACAATCTTTAATATGTTGTTCGTTAATACTCGAAATAAATGTTTCCCTCATAAAAACATCAACTGATACATTTTTATTACAAACGATCAAAAATTAGATTTCTTATTTTTTTGGTTTTAAACAAACTTTACTCTGATAGATTTATATAATTCGAGAATTAATTACATAAATATTTTATGTAGAAAATTCGCAATTGCGGCAAATAATGAGCTATTCTAACATTTTCATTGAGACAATATCCATGCAAAATTAGAAATAAATAGTACACAATCAATAAGAGATGCTCGCTAACGTAGGAACACCCTGTATACACAGACGATGGTCGATGACTGGTGCAGAGTGTCTTCGTAGTGCCTCGGTGTAATCGCTATTGTTTCGTTGCATCGCAGATAACGACACGACGTGCTTTCCAACAATAACCGCTCCCAACGCGAAACCCGACGAGGATTGCGAAAACATCGTTTCTCGCTTCAGAGAGAAATACTTGTAAAACACACACGCGATTTATTTAATGCGATCATTTCACGGCCAACGCATCGTTCCGATCATGAAGATACATATTTTCGCGAAATAATCTCGATTGTTTTTTGATATAAAAAGAACAAGAACTCTATATTAATTAATTTTCTATAAAAATATGAAAGGAAAGGAAAATATTTAATAAAATTATGGGATACACGAGATCTATATTCCATTTCATTGCATTGGGTAGAAAATGTATAACGCACGTGATTAAAAAAAATCGTTTACGACAATTTATTAAAATTCTTCACATAAATGCGTTTGGATTCGTCGAATAATTAGAAAACTGGCTCTTATCGATGCTGGCCCTTATGAGATGTCTATTTTTTTTGCATTAATATCAAGGAAAAATTTATTTAAAAGCTAAGGACGCTTTTTCGATACTATTAATAAATACTTTTGATACGAAGTATCAATAATTTAGGTCGTGAAGGCACTTAAATAATCATAAAACTAGACTTATGCTTATTATATATATAAAAAAATAGTAACGTGCTGCGTTAAACCGGCACAATTCGAATATGAAGATGCCTATGCGAAAATCTGCCGATTGCAGCTTTGAGCGAAAAACTCTTCACACAGTAGTTAGCATCGTCAGAAATCCGTAACGTTGTTTCTTGAACGTACAGTTTCTGATCGAAGTAACGGTAAAAAAAAACATCTTTATAGCGTACGCGGTGTAACACGATTTTCTCTTCGTTTGTAGTTCAATCTGCTTGATTCATGTGCGTAAAAATCCATCAGTTCGGCGCTTTTTCTTTCTTTATCCTTGCTTCTTTTTTCAAGTGAATGAGAGTGGAGTCTCCTCGATAAAGGCACTGTTGTGATTCCGAAATCGTCGAGCTTTCGAAAGGTTGAGAGTCTCTAGAAAATTCAGCTTGTGCTTCGAACTCGTAAAATTTCCAGGTCGATTATCATTAACTGTGATGAGGATGCAACGACGGGCTGGTCTCGTTGATAACGGCTTTTGATAGTATCGTCGGCGATGGCGTCGTCGAAGACGTCAGAGCGTTGGACAGGGCCTCGGCAATGCTGTCGGTTACTCTGTCGATCGCGCTCGCAACGACGTTGTGTTTATGATCGTGGGGATGGTCGTGGTCGTGATCATGATCGTGGTCATGATCGTGATCGTGATCGTGGTCGTTTTCCGTGCAGTTGTGTGAATGTTCGTGGCCGTGGCTGTGCGAATGCGAATGGGCAGCTGTAAAGAAAAAGTATAAAATCTTAACTATACATTAAAATCTTTGACGGATATCGGCACTAAAACGATCGCACTTGTCTTCATCGCTATGCATTTATTCTTTGATTTTTGTAAAGTGCATTATGGCAGAAAGAAGAAAATTTTAGATTTGGATATTTAGACTTCGCGAAAATCTGTGCAAGCATGAAAATTTATAATGTATTTTTATGAGAGGAAAGCATTAGTTTTTATTAAATGTTATTGAGAAAAGGAGAAAAGCTGGCATGTTTAAATGCATCGTAAATCAAGGTGAGTTTAATGTTACATCGTTAGATTCAACCGACATCGATCGAAAGTATCTAATCAGCGAGAATGATGTCGCTTATACGACAATCGCCGTCGAATCAAATGAGATGTCTAAAAGAAAGCTGAGCTGTTCAGTAATACTCGATTTTGATGACTAATCTTTTTTTAATTCCGTCAATTGTTCAAATTAATAACAACGTTAATAACGCAATAAGTTAAGATTGTCCGAAAATGTTATATTGTACGATAAAACTGCATGCGTATTATATGGGATGAGTAAATTATGCGTCTGATCAAGCACCGTCCGTTTCCACTTGTCTCATCTGTCGCCTCTCGAGCCCGATAATTATCGTGTGCGTACGCTATTCCGTGAATGATTTTAAGATACGCGGCGGTCGCGATTCGTCACGACGATGCGTCAAACGGTCGAGAAAGCCGTCGAAAGTCGGTCGGATCGTCCATCGACCTGCGCGTCCCCGGGTCATTGCCATGGGTGGAGAGAAAGCCTTGAGATATAATCTGATCTTTTATACAAGATCGATCCGCCCGTCTCACGCGGCGCGAATCAGCATTGACAATGACGTCCGTTCTTCTCGGAGCAGCAAATTAGTCGCTCCACATGAAAACGTGCGCGTCTTGGAAGAAGTGGGTTGTTTCCGTGTGCAATTTGCCAATCATATGGCAGCCGACGCGAGTCGTGTAAAAGTTCACGTCTCGCGCAGTCACGTAGGAGTGATACGAGAGCTCATGTTTTATGTAGGGTAAATGCTCCAATAGACCGTTTGACAGATATTAAAATAGAGTAGTCCAATTCTTTCGTGTAACGCCACTTTACGTAATATTATATTTTAATAATATACAAGACGCTCCGAAACTGCAAGTTCTTTCAATAGCAGCTTCTCCGACCGATTTGGAGTTGACTTTTCCTCAACAAAAATTTTTCAATGTTCAACGTCATAGGATATCTTTTCAATGAATTTTTACATTGCAAATTTCTATTAAAATAAAGTTGAAGTTAATTAAAAAAACTTAAATATTCATAAAAAGTTTTTTTTCCAATCAATATATAATTCGGAGAAAATAAACACCTTGACATTTGCTGAGGAATAATCAATTCCAAGTAAATTAAAGAATCCGTCTGTTAAAAGAATATTCACAAATTTTAGAACATCTTGTATAATTATTTTTAGTTTATCTTAATAATATTTGATGAGTTCGAAAAATTATAACATCAGTTTTAATTTTATTACATTACTTTGTACTAAATTAAATATTTTTACTGGGTAATGCATCCAACATTACGTAATTTGAAGTTGAGATAGGACTGCGATCTCTCGCGCTCTTGTGAGAAGGTCACGACGCAATTAATATTGCATAACAAGTGGTATCCGGCAAAGGTAACCGTTATTACGATCCCACCTGCCGTTACTTTCTCGGTGAAATGACACTTGTCTGGCGTTATAAGATACGTCATCAAGTAGTATATGGCGTGTGCGTGCGAATAAACGATTCGCACACACTATGATGCTGAGTGGATCGAACGTCATCGCGTCGCAGTGGCATTTAAATTAGGCAACTTCCTTAAAAGTGTCGGAGAATTAATGGGACAAGCGAACGAACGAAATCGCGCGTTCCTTTTAAATTTAGAAAAGTATTTTTAAAGGTTCCGTAAACGATTTTGCTGAAACTAGTTTAGCACTGCCAATGACTATTTTGGTAGTTCGATAAACCATAAATGTGATTTGATTATTTCCGATCGCGTCGTGTCTGCAAGAATGATTAATGTTGCGTGTTTTTATCAACTGCAGGCGGAATATATTAAGTAATAAAAATAGAAGCGCTGACAAACTGGAAATAAAAGCGAAGCAAGAAAAAAACAAAAACATTTTGTGATTCGAAGTACGCAAGTTTGTGCTTCCGCCGGAATCCGCAATCTACATCAATTTTGTCAGAGTCATTAACTGTTTATCAACTGGCGATTGTCGTCTCGAGAAATATTTTATTTTGGCTGTGTATTGTATATGCACACATATGTTTTCTATAAAAGTGTTTGATGTTTGTGTTATGTCTTCAGTCTTTTGGCTAAAAATAAAAGAGAAGACATAATTTTCAAGAAAGAGCAAACGCTCTAAGATCGGTGCAAATAACTTTTTGCTTTTATTTTCCGAGATTCCGCAATCAGCGCCATTGGAGGCGTCTATTAAAACATCTCGCTTCGATAAGATCTATCGTTTTCACGGCATAAGTTCTCCAAACTTAGTGTTGCACGCGAGGATTTTTTGCCACGATTGCTTCCCCTCCCCTTCCCGATTTGTCCTGACCCTGACTTTTTAGCTGTAATTTCTCGGTGAATCGATAAATTAGACGTAGGGCCAACACGTATCAAGGGCGTACCTGTAATAGGTTTGCACGGAGGCAAACGATTTTGCCGAAACTAGTTTAGCACTGCCAATGACTATTTTGGTGGTTCGATAAACCAACTGTGGACGCGAATGACGTAACAAGAAACGCAACGGTTACGTCAAACGAATTTCTGTATCGTGATCTACACAATTTTCGTATCAATCTGCGCTTCAGATTTTTACGCTATACAATGCTTCTCATATTCATCTCAAAGAAAAATTAAATCTTACTCTTTATTCAACTCTAAGCAGACTTCAGAATAGATATTTGTACGTCAATTTGCAAGGACATTAAATATTCAGGATTGACAAATCGCAACAGACAACGAACTCCATTCATGCTTTTAATTTCAAGAAGGAGAGAAGATTTCGATTACTTGCTAATTGAAAATCCGTCTGAAAAATATCTGAACCATCCGCGAGATGAATAATAAACCGTCAAGCGGATATAAATTGAGAGAATCGAGGAAGAGATACGCTTTCCAGCGAATTCTAATGTAACCAGGATGTGCTTTCACCCTGGGTCATAAATTCATGCGCCGTGCGATTCCGCGTTTGACACGCGGAAATTCCATTCATCGCGCGAAAAATGCAGGAAAACGCGTAGTAGCAGTAGCGGACGTGAAGGACATACGTAACGATGACGATAACATGTTTATCCGGTATCGCGGTATATCGCGCACGCGACACGCTCCGATGCGCTCTAGAAAAAATGCGCGCAGAGAGAGAGAGAGAGAGAGAGAGGGGGGGGGGAGCGGAGAAAGAGAGGAGAGGATCTTCCGTCGGTTTTCGAGAAAATAGGCGACGACTCACTGGCGATTTGCAGGCCCAGCATGAGCATAAAGCCGACGATAATCGCTGCGAGCTGCAACAGGCCGCTCTTTTCGTTCGCTCGCTCGCGCGCTAGCACCTCGAAGAACACCACGTAGAGCAGAGTGCCGGCCGCCATGCCTTGAAGTATCGTAGGTGCGGGTCCCAGATTCTCGCTATCGTTTTTGAAGTGGCCCAACGCGAGGCCGACGGCAATCCCGATCGGCGTGACCATGGAGAAGATGGATAGATATCCGAGAGTGGTTTTGGTGGACGCGCCGGCCACGTAGAGCTCCATGCCGACGCAAAAAGCGATCACCAGCTTGTGCGTGGCGATGGCGGCCGCCAGATAGACGACCGAGCTGATGGACGGTTCCAGGCCGACCGCGAGACCCTCGAATATCGCGTGGAAAGACAACGCCAACACGGTCAGCAGTCCTTGCACGGAAGTGTTCTGCGCCATCGCGCCGTGCTGATGATCGTGATGATGATGGTGATGCTTGATCTGCGGGTAGTTCAGTTCCGGCATCGTGAATTCCGTTTCGGGAGGCTTCTCGGCGGCTTGACGTCCTTCGCTCGGCAACGCGACGGACGATAGAATGAATACAGCCGGCAGCACCTTGTCGTCCTTGCTCACTTGATTGTGGAGAGCGTGATCCTGAATTCTCGGTCGCTCCAAGTCGACGGGCCGGTCCTCGTCATCGATATGCTTCCACGTGGATTGAGTCTTCGTGGACACGGTGGTGATCGAGCCGCTCGATGCCACCGACGTAGTGCCGGACGGGCCGCTCGTCTGATTGTTGTTATTGTTGTTACATCGACGTACCGACACGGTCCGATAGAGCAGCGCTTCCGACGATTCGGGTTTGCCGGTAAGTGCGGCGTGAACCGTCTCCTCGACCAGGTAAACGAGAAAGAAACCGCCGCAGAAAAGCAGCTCGGCCAGCCCGAGGCTGCCCAGGGTGGGCAGTTGGCCGTTGGACTGATGTCGTTCGACACTCTCGCGCACTTCTGGCGCCAGATGTAAAAATGTTGTGAACAGCAACACGCCGCCGCCGAAGCAGAGCAGTAGAGATGTTAACAGACTCTGAGAAGATAAGGCCGCGATGTTTTCACAATCGTTTTGGGATTTGCATTCGCTAGGGAGGCATAGAATAGGGAGCTCGGCCATACAAAAGCTTCTATAGATTTTTTTATCTTGATTTTTCTCTATTGAAAGATGATGGAATATATATCGCATCAATTATCTCAGCAGTTAAACTTCAAATTAGAATTTTTAATAATTACGTAAGAATAACGTGTTATTTATGTAACAATTAATCTGTGTAAATTATCAATATTTTAAATCTCAAAATATTCTGATGAAGAGTATAATATTATCTGTTTGAAAATGATTCTTTTCAAACTATACATAATTTAGAAATTTTCAAAATACTTTTTAATTACTTAATCGGATTTCTTTAGAATGATTAGTCAAATTCTCAACAAGTAGAAACGCACTGTAATTATGATATATTTCAAATTTTTCTATTAATCAATGCATGATAATGGCATAAATTAACGAGAAGCTTCAACCAATTTTACTTATTCAAAACTTGCTTTTATTATGTTTCATCTTGGTTGTATTAAGAATTGAAGAATTGATCGATTCCAAATTTCGTATTAGAATCCGCAGATGCAATAAGATACCGAGCACCCTATATATGCTACCGAGCAGCTACTCCGGATGTGTTACAATTAATATATGATTTGCCAACAAATATACGAATTATGAAAATAACAAATATTTGCGCGACAAATATCAGTCAAATATTAATCTCGACTTTGTGCCGCTTAAAATGTGTTTACATCGTGCGTACATCGTGACATTAAGGTCGGAAATGAGCAACCAATGTAACAAATAGAATAGAATCGATTAATACTCAAAATCTATCAATCGCAGAATCAATCATTAGCGAGGCAACGATTTGTATAAAAATACAAAAATATTTGCTGCATATTATCCGCTGGTGTTAGGAATTTGACGTTGCAATCTCGATTGAAAATTTTTTCCAACGGATCGAATTCGATTTATTATCGGCACAAAGATGAGCCTTCCGGAGATGCTGCAAATCGATGAACATAATTAGCGTCTCATTGAGGACTTCTGCCTATTTTTCGGACGTACTTGCTTATGCGCCGCGGGAGTCGCGTCGACACTCGACGTGGTGGAAGTGGAGGTGCTGGAATGATTGGAAGAGATCGCTCGGCGACGTTTCTGAAGTCGTTTCTTGATTCTGTAACGTCCGACCATCAACGGTAACGTTCCCATTGCCAAAGAACCGAAACCGAGGCCGATCATCGCGCCGATCTTCGACATCAAAAGGATACTGGACGTCGTTGTATCCTCCATTTCGCCGCTACGTTCGACAATATTGAGATAACGATGCGAGACACTTCGAGCTACTTCGAAGAGAGGAATTTCAATCTACCTCTCTCTTTCTCTCCAGGATTTCACAATCGCGCCGCGCCGGTATCGAAGCGGTCACACATCTCTGTCGCGCGCGAGTGTAAAATGTCGCGAATTGAAATTTACGCCGATGTGTTATTTATGTTTCGTCACCACTTCACCACTTCTCTCTTCCTCGCGTTCTCGTCGACGGTGACGAAACTCATAATCACACCGAGATCTATTCAACAGAAACCGCGTGGCGTTTCCGTTTCTCCAATTCGCGATGAATCGATCGAGCGCTGACGCGGTGAAGCTAAACGTACAAAAATCAAACTTCACCGCGCGACAAAATGATTGCCTGCACTCGGGACTGCAAACGGAAAGCTCCACGCGTCGCGACGACCGATCCGGCACTACGCTCCGGTCGCGACGGGAACTCGGCACGATCTCGGACCCCACGGCCGCCGCCTCGTCGTCTTACATAGTCCGAGCCGAGCCGTTTCCTGCCCACTCCCGCGCGGCCACTAACGCTCGATCCTTCTCTCGCGATCGCTCGCTGACACGTATACTCTCTCTCTAGCACCTGCACTAGCAACTGATCGTCCCTTGCTCACAGTGGCGTAAAACCGACGGTCCCCGCGGATCTCCCCGAGGAACGGCACGGAGAAGGCCTTCCCCGTCATGTTCGAGCGCACGCAAGGTCGAAGAGAAAGAAAACAACAGAAGAACGAACGGAAGTAAAATAAAAGGGAGGAATAAAAAAGAATTTCTTCTTGCATGCTGCAAGAACGAAGGAGAGACAAGGGAGAGAAAGTAAATAAAAAGAAGCTGAAATGAAAGGAAGAATAAAGGCGAGGATGATGGAGAAAAATGGAGCAGAGAAGAAATAAATGCTGAATTTGACATTCGCGCGTCTCTGCGGCTGTATTTCATCTCGAGCACGATCTTCTATTAATGCTTTACTTCCTTTAATAATATTTTATAATATCAATTTAGTTTAGTTTCAGTTCAATTTAGTTTAGTTAAGTAGTCCCGAGTTAAAAGTTGACATCGTCCATGTAAGTCTTTGTCGGAGATTTGAATTCCTCGACAACATTTCTCTCGGGCCCTAAATATAGCCTTAATAGAGGGAATAATCCTTCAAGTTGTCTCTTAGAGCCTACTCTTCCACCCTCCGCAAAGTGGGGCACTTTAAACGTCGGTTACATCGCTGCCCGTACCCCGACGAAGAGCAACGCGTAACGTTTTTCCCCCCTTCAGAACGGCGGACGCGTTTGTGCGTAGGCGCGTGTACACACGTGTACGCGTGAATGAGACGAGTCATCGAGAGATCGACACTCTGTGTGTGTGCGGGGGCACGCGTGCAGACGCGGGCTCTTCCACGTTTGCCGCCCACAATGTCATGAATAACATGAGAATAATTTGCATCACGAACCACATACGGACTATACGGGAGAAATAAATCCTTAAGTGCTGCCGGTGACGACGAGAATAACAGGAAAGCAAGTTTCAAGGAACGGAAGGCGGGTTGAAAAATGTTCATATACCGACTTCCTGATCTTCCGCGAGAATTTCATTCCGATTGCAATTGTGCAGAATTTCTCACTCGACTAATCCCGATTCATTTCGTTTCCACGTCATTAGGACACGGATGAGAAAATGTAAAAGGCGGCCTTCTGCAGGCTGCACTCGTCGCTTTCATATGAAATTTTGCAATCTGGGCCGCCGAGGCGATCACGCCTCTTGGTGATTATTATTTGTCGGCTCTACGGATACTTTCACCCTCTCGGCACGAACAACGAAAGGATGCACGGCGTGTGTTTCGGACGCTCCATTGAACGTGATCGCGAATGGGATCACGTCCGAGTTACGAAGAAACCGTGGATCTAATCTTCTCGCGCCCGAGTGTGCTCTCCCGTCGCTAATTACACCGATAACAAAATCTCTCGATAATCCACGCCGCGCCATTCACTTTCACGATAGTTCCCATTTTTTTCCCTTCCCCTTCTCAAAACGATCGCTAATGATAAGCCATGCGAGCGAGCATGAAGGATATCCGCGCCTTCAAGTCACGCTCGGAAGATAAAAAAACTTCGATTGACTCACAAATAGACAGTAGCGATGCGTTTTTCTTATCGTTATTTTCCGATCGCCGCGGATTTTAATTGTCCGGCGACGAGAGAGATTTTTTTTAACGTGCGACAAAATCAACATTACGGGAATCGTGTCGCGTGAATCATCGGCAGGATGTCCTTTGCGTTTTGTGCCACATTCTCTTTTTTTTCCGTCGCCCTCCCGCCGCCTCCACGAGTGGTTCGCGATGTACTCGTCATTTTGAACGTTAGCCTCGACGCGCTCAATTTTTTCTCTCTCTCACTCTCTGCGGATTGAAAACGCACGCATTATGTGTGTGCGAGATAAGTGACTGTTGACCAGCGATTAATTGTTCGTTGACAATCGATAAGTGCCGACCGTCTCGATGATCTTCGACCCCGGACACATGATGCTCGAAATATCATCGCGTCTGGCACACTACAAAATTCGGTCTATAAGCGCATTCCCGTTTCATCAATGTATAATCGAGGCTGCTTAAAGATTTATGTGTTTTCGAGTTTTCAAGACATTTTGTGATTTTGGGAGCTTGTAAAATTATTAATTGAGCGATCAGATCGATAAAAGCATGATTAAGCGTTTTATCGCTTAACATTACACTTGCTTGGCAACTATAATTTTTATCTATTTTATATTAGGATTTTTCTATACAGCTGATACGTTCGAGACAAGAAATAGAAATAGAAATAGAATGGCATTTTTTTAGTTGGGAAGTAATCGATAAGTAAGTGGAATGTATCAGCGAAACATAGTATATATTCTTATCTGTTAAAAAATTCTGAATTTTATTTATTAAGTAGTACGTATTCATGCAATTTAATTATAGGAAAAGTATTAGAATTTGAGCGCTTATTTTCAGCGCTGAATATTATTTTCTTTATTCTACGAAGACTATTATCACTAAAGAAATATATAAGATTGTCTAGCGTAAAATAAAATTGTTCACACTTACTCAGCAATTGCAGGCCGAACATTACGAGAAAACCGATAAGAATCGAGACGTATTGCTTCAATCCGGTTCGATGTTCCTGCAAAATCTCGAAGAACACCACGTAGAGTAGAGTACCTGATGCTAATCCCTGCAAGATGACGAGAAAGTGATAATTTCTTTTTATCTATCGCAATTTTTTTTGCGTGAAATTTCGACATTTTAAGAATTAAAATTTTTTTAACGCCCATATTATTGATAATAATTATTAATTATTTTATCAAAATTCTTTCTTATTTTGGCGAAATGCTATGTCTTTCCCGATTTAATTGATAAACTTGCCTGCAATACTACTGCCGTTGGTCCACTTGCGGAAGCACTTCCCCCGCCGACCAGAGCCATGCCGATTCCAATTCCCAAAGGCGATACTACAGCAAACGTGCATACGTAAATTACAGATAAATACCGCCTGGTTCTCGAAGCGATCAGTTCTACGCCAATACAGAAGGCTATGACAAATTTGTGAGATGCCACAGCGAGGAACATATACCTGCGAACGAATTTAATTATAATAATTATATATATTTTGCTCGAAACACTTGATTTAATTTTTAATTGGTAATATGAAATTTGTAAGATTTTTTTCATATTTTTACTATAATTTTTTAATATTTTATGTATTTAAAATTTTCAAACTCTATTATCAATGTTTCACATGTTTTTGCTTTATTACATTAAAATTGTCTAATCGTTGAAAAATGCTCATGCTACTATTTAAGGCTCTGGGACCTCATCTTCGATCTAATTTCAAAATGATACCAATTAAAATTAACATTCAAATGCAGGTATTTTTTTTGGAAATATTTTTCACCGGACATTACCATACATGACCGGCGGAGCTTTCTAAACCGATCGCCAGTCCTTCGAATAATTCATGCACAGATAAACCGAGCACTATTAATAATCCGCGCAGCGAAGATATCACAAAGTCGTCGTCAGCATCCATTATCACCGGTAAATGGCTGTGGCCCCTATAAATTAAGAGAAAACGAGTTTCACGTCGCTCAAAACTTCGCGACAAAGTATCATTGCGTGACGCCCAATGATAAGCGCGATGTTTTTGCGACAAAGTTGAGCACAAACAAGGCTTACGTATGTGAGTGACCGTTCGTGGCGTACGATGGTATCGTTTGACCGTACTCCACCAATTCATTCGTGCTGCGATTCACGTCTTTCTCGTTAGTGACATCTTCACGTTTCGCTTGCCGTTTTCTTAGATACGTGTGCACGGATTCCTCCACCAGATACATGATAAAGAACCTGCGGTAGGTTCGCAGAAATAAATTTATTTATTCTACAGTATTTCGATCTATTTTGCAAATCTAATATATTCAATATAATCTCGTGTATTTTATTGAAGAAAAAAGATTAACACAGCTAAATGCATTCGCATAAAAATAAATGTGCAAATTACTGCAAGTTACTTAATCATAAAATCGTGATAATATATAAATTGACGATTCAAATTTGATAAGTAATATTAGAATATTTTTTATTGCAAGAAGATCTTGCTTATCAAAAAATATCCTCACTATTTTCGTGACGCACAATTTTCTTTCATATTCAATCTGTACATAATGACGTCACAGAATTTACTTACCCGGTGCAGGCAAGCGCGTTTGCCAACGAGAAGTTAAGCTGTCCCATTTTGTATTTATCGACAAGATGTTCTACACCTTCCGCGACTTCCGGCATTAAATGAAGGAACGTTGTGCTGAAGAGAACTCCCCCGCCAAAGCCGAGTAAAAGGCTTACTATTTTCGTCGATCTGTATACACGATAAAGTAATTAATTTATTATTTACACTCAAAAAAATATTTCGCTGATGTAATTAGATTTCTAGATATTGCAACAAGAATGTATCGCTATTTTTCGTATCTGTGAAAACATTGTTTGTCACATATAGAATTTATAGCAGTAATGTTCTAGCAATAGCATCTGAAAAATTTAGGTACCATTGCTAAATGTTATTCATTGCATAATCGAACACGTGATTGATCTTATATAGATAGGCGCTTTAGAGAAACTTTCTTTTTAAAGTTCACAAACAATACAGATATATATTCTGTTTCTGTCATCTAAACTGATTAAGTAATTACATATGCAATATCACAACAGTTGCTAATCATTTATCTGTTTTAGTTAATTTTTTACACCTAGAAAATTTTAGCTATTATTGCAAGATTATTTTTTTGAGTGTATCTTGTTGGTTCAATCGTATCGTTGGGGATCCTAAGACGAGAGATCCGAAGATAATATGAAATACAAAACAAACTATATTATATCTTAGGGATTACGTAATCTGTCAAGTACTGTAGCAAACACTTTAAATTGTTGTTCGATTTTATTAATTTTCTCGTACATTGTACTTTTCGAAATAAGTCGATAAAATAAGAAGCGTTTCGATAATATTGTTCAATTGTCAAAAATTGAGAAAGCATATTGTTCTTCGTCGGTCATAAAAGCTTCTTCACGATTTGCTATCCGGCTTGGTAAATGATTAAGACGATATTTTTACCTGGGGTTTACTTGTCCGGTCATGTCCCATTTGAACCACTTGGCCAAGAACATCGGTATCGTCCCCATGCATATGCTAACGATGCACAATACCACCATGGTGACGGCTTTGGCAGTTAGTATTTCTTGCGATGTATCCTCAGATGGGGAGTGAGTTTCTTCATGATGATGAAGCGACGTCTCATTCATCAGCATTTTCAGCATCTGTGATGCATACGATAAATTTGTTAATATAATGCCTAATATGCCAATTCTTTTTCATTGCAATAATTTCATTACATATAATTGCGAAGAATTTGGAAATAAGAAAAGAATTCTATTATTATTTAGAAATAATACAATTTTTCTCAAGCATGAATATTTGTTTCTCTTATTTTTTGAATAATTTGTGGATAATTAAAAGAATCTCAAATTAGAAATTGAGATTATCTACGTTGATTCCAGAAATAAAGAATCAACAATATTCGTCAATGTATGAAGTTCAAATTGATCAGTGTATTAAAAATTAATTTCGCGCTGTTAATTTGACGTTAGCTCATATATACCTACGTCATGTTTATGCGTAAACAGCTTTTATCTTGTCCATATAATAGGATTAGTTTCCACTTTTAAAATTGAAAATAATAGAAATTTCTAGTAAAACAACAGCGCATGAAACCATAATTGAAAAGTGCATGTAAATTAGCAACAGAAGTTAATTATTTAACGATGTTAATTAATCGATTGATTATCCACTCTGCCGTTTTGAAATTTCATTACCGATCTAAGTTACATGTAGCTTGATCTCTTCGAAATTTGTTAGCAAAAATACGTGCCTAATCTCTGATAATTTTATCTGAACACAACTTCTATGAATATTTATTACACTCGGCAGCGAAACGTCGACTCGTGCTTTTCAAACATATATTTTATCTCTTTTTACGGCCTTAGAATATTTTGTTACCGCACAGGAGTTTTGTATCAGTCTAACATTACTAAAGGAAACATTATACTCTCGCATATCTATGAATTTTCACGTGTCCAAGCTTTCGCAGTCTCTTTAATCCATTTATCGAAAGTTTTAGATTGATGAAAAGTGATTGAAAGATAAAAGGATTGAAAATTTTCCGATATTGATTGATTGTGATTATCTATATCTATTATGATAATACTATACTACTACTACGATACTACTATTAACGATAATAGCCGTAAAAGACCATTAATAATTATATTCGAAGAAATAGATTACGATCGAGCCTTATGCGACGAGTGTTTTATATGTAACGAAAAGAATTATGCTACAAAAGATCGAGCAATTATACATACGATAACGTTTCGTGTACAATCATTATACAATTCACAGCGTTTACATTATTTGTCGTAAAAATTCACATTATTATATTGTATCATTCTTAAAGGATTATATCATTTTACACGTTAATTATTATTACAGTTATCATGAATAATTAAAGTAATCTCATAATCCTGCTAACTAAGCGTCGATAGCTAAGTTTCTGTGTGATCTTGATGATAATGGCAAATCCGTATTTCCTGAATTTCACGATAAAACACTCACCTTGCATAATACGTATAACAGTCTGTAATACATATAAGTATTACATAATAAAAAAACAAAATTACTTCAAGGTTGTATTTCACTTCATCGATCAAATCCTCTTGTTGATCGAAAGTCAATTTGGAGCTCACGACGTAGTGAGGTAAACTGTTTAGATTTAGATCAGTAGATCATATCGAGTAGAAAGTATCGTATTTATGTTTTTTAACTAGCATTTTGCGTCGATCTTTTGCTCATAAAAGTAACATAATACATTTAAAAATATGTTATTTAAAAAAATAATTTTAAATATTAATTTAGATCACTATAAGTAATTTCTGAAAAGTTATAGTTACGTAAAATTATAGTAACGTTGTTTGTTGATGTCATCGATATCTTATATCTCCAAAGCGAGATATTATCTTGTAAGTGAGATATTATCTCGTAATCGACAAGTCTGACAAATAATATGATAATTTTACTATCGGGCTACTTGAAATTTTATGTGTAACAACTCTATCTTTATCGTCTAATTTATTTTAAATAAATTACATAATTTACGATTAAAACTAATTAAT